AGCTTTCGTCACTCGAAAATTTTACCTCAAAGAGGTGTTTTATTTGATATCAATTATTTAGGAGTAACAAATTTAAAATAGACCAAAATACAAACAATAATCCAAATGTTTTATTTTTCTCAAATAAATTGCTAAAAATATTATCTAAATCTAAATTATGTATTAAAATCGATGTGTCTATTGAAACACATAATTTTTCGAATACGAAATAAAGCGAAAAAGAATGATCATATCCTTTGTATTCGAAAAAATTAAAAATTAAAAATATAAGAAATGATAAAGACTTATCAACTTGGTACCAACTTTGGATACAATAAACAACTATATTCGTCTGATAGTCTCGTAGTTTATTTTTGTTAAGATTTCTACCGGGTATGGGGCGCACACATGTGCTCTTTTTAAGAAGTTTTACTTCTATCACGTGTACGATGTTGCACTCGTGCTACTAAGCTAATGCTTTTTCTCAAGTAGTTTTGCTCAGTGGCAATTTATACATATGTATGTAAGTAGTAGCGGCACATTGGGTGAACTAAATGCATTCATACATACATATTTATGTACAACTATAGGTAATATTGTACGCGTCTTCCCAGGTAGGTTAAGTGCTCTAAAATACACACAAATTGTGGTTTCCAAGACATTTACGAAGTGATTAGCACAGCTGCATCCTTCAACTTGTCAACTCGCGGAAAATTCCCCGATTTTCAGGGAATTTCGGTTTAAGTGGCATTCGGGGAATGGGCAATTTTTTTCGGGGAAATGGGTAAGTTATTTTTATATCTTAAAATAACCAAATTAGACGGATATGTTAATTTTTAACCATTTGACAGAGTGACATTTTTTCAATTTGAATCGCAATATCTCCACAACAAGAGTTTTCCCAGATATAAACTGTATTCCAGATGAAAGCTAAGGTTTTGATCTAGATTTGTGGAAACTTAGAATAAAATGGACTGACCAGTTTTTGAGAAAATGCCGGAAATGTATATTTTCAGCAGCCCGATTTTTAGTTTCCGGGCGATAACGTTATGATATATTTATATTTTATAAACACACGCTGTTTATTGGTAATAGCGTCCTGATCATGACTGACAAGATAAATAATTTAGGATTTGTTGTTAATTCTATGTTGAGCTGTTCTGGCCATGTGAATAATGTTGTAAGTAACGTGTATGCTGTTTTACGTAGATTAAGAATGTCAGCGTCGTTTACACACTTAGATACAAGAAGAAAGTTAGCTATTCAGCTTATAGTGCCGCAGATCACGTACTGTGGGCTAGTGTATAGCAAGTTTGACTCTATTTCGTTTCACAAAATTGATGTTGCGTTTAATAACGTTACACGTTACGTTTACGGCCTCAAAAGATATGACCACGTTTCTATGTGGAAAAACAAAATTCTAAGATGCAGCATTTTTGAATACCTAGCCGCTAGAAATTGTATATTTATGTATAAGCTTATAGAATTCAAAACTCCAAAATACCTTTTTGAAAAATTAAAATCAACAAGGTCTAGTAGAAATCAAAGTCTGATTGTCCCCAAATATTCCTACTTGTCTTCAGCTAGGCTGTTCTTCATTAATGCTGTAAGGCTCTGCAACTCAGTTCCTGAATCCGTAAAAGCAGCGCTGAATCGGAGTAACTTCAGAAAGGTATTGCATAATTACTTTAAATCTGCACAATGAATGTGGTTGCGATTAAATTGTTATCATTTCTCTGTCTCTGTCACTTCTACTATTAAACCAAATTTTGTATGTTCGTATTTATATTTATATGCCTGACCTTTTATTATATCTGGCCTTAAATTTTAAGTCTTAATTTTAATTTTAATTTTAATTAAAAATACAAATATCAATATTTTTTGTTGCCATTTGATATATTGTTAGTTTTAAGTTTACTTTGTACAAACATTGAATTTTACAAATTGTTGATGTATTATAAAAGACTCAAAGTCTTATAGATACAGCCTCATTTCTTAAATAAATATGAAATATGAAATATGAAAAAAAAGATGGCGTTAGATAGCTTATTTGAAGACCCTTCTACTGATATCCACATCAATGACATGGACTGAGTAGTGCCGCCTTTGTGGTCGTTTAAAAAATTGCCTTTTTTCGAATTTCAGGCAGCAGCCACGCTCACAAAGGCATACGAATCAAGACATCCCGGAACAAAACCTTCTCAGTTTTTTTTGTACTTTGATTCCTGAAAGTTTGAAAAAAATTAAATGAAGGTACGTACAGACGCCACATACATACCAAAGCATCTCGTAGTGGAGACACGAACCAAAACACATTTGCCTTCTTATCTTTCCAACTAATATATAAGGTATTGTTTGAAAGGTATTGGCCTATAGAATAACACTAAATATGTTGGGTGTATCCACATGCCCCCTTAAACCGCCACAAGCAAAAAACGTTTTTTGTTTCGCAACACTTTAGCCTAATTTTTAAGAATCCGGCTAATCGTTTATGAAGCTTGAATACATTTTCTGGACATACTCTACAAGACCTTTCCAACGATATCTCAAACATGTCGATTGGACGTCTGGATAAAAACTTCCAAATCTCGTGTATATATAAGCGAGTCATTTCAGCATGCTACTGTGTCTGCTTTCGTCACTCGCGCGCACTGCTGTTCGCTGTGATATATATACTATTATTATTATTAAAATCACAGTTTTCTCGAAGAGTTACCAAGATACGATTTTAATTTTGATCGGAGATGATTACCGAAACATTGACTTTTGATATTCTGCAACAATATTGGGTATGGTTTTCATGTGGGTTAAAAACTTTTTCTACACTACCGTAACATATGTGTACGCGCCAATATATTATTATGTGCATATATCTCCGATTATTTGAAAATAACAGTTGTAAAAATAATTACTTGTTTTATTTATAGCTAACGAGACGCTCTTGAGGACTTTGTTGAGTTACTGTTCACTTCATGGAGCCAGTGGGGGCGGTCTTGCCTCGGTGAGGATGGAATTGGTTCTTCTATTGCAAGAACTGCAACAAGAAAAGACTCAACAACAGCTTGTAAGTCCCCTTCCGTTTCCAACAACTTTGCCGTTATTAAGCGCTTGTGTGGCCGGAAATAAAACTGTCAGTGCGGATCCCATTAAGTATTTGCAGGTATTTTCAAATATTTGAATTTATTATCTTGAGCATATATTTACGAAGTTTTACTAAGTTAAAACCTGCCTTACTTGTTTTATTTTAGTCGCAAACAGTTGATATGCTTCAGACCATTATAAAAATCGCACCATTACCCGGTGTGACATCAAACTCCTTTTGTGAAATCTTTATTCTTCGCGATTTATCGATTGCACTATCTTCATGTATTTACCAATCATTATGTGATTCGGAAAGTTTCGTTGTTCATCACAATACAACATTGAATGGATTTCAAAGTCCGGGAATAGAAAATATCGCCAAACTTAATTCTCTGTTCGAATGTTCTCATTTAATTGGTAATACGAATGTTTACTGTAAGAGGAGAAAATTCTCGTCTGATGAACCAACAGTAATTTGTACTTCGCCGGCGAAATGGCCTGGCGTTACGAACCTAAGAGCATTGTTAGCACGAGAGAAAGATGAAGACATTCCAAAATTAAATGTATTGCTACTTGAATCTTTTGTTGCAACGTATATGTCGCTGTTAATTTATGCAATGGCCACTTGTGATTGCCGTTTGTTGTACAGACTTGTTGGTCAAAAATTTGCTACCGAAACTTGGTCAACAATATTTGGAGGCGGAATGAAGAAATTATTACGAAAAGCAACTTTGCGTAACGAAACTATGACTTCAAATCAATCACAGATAAACTCTTCAGCAGAAAGACCAGATGATAGCGGGGTCTGGAATACAGTGACTTCAATTACGAAACAACGTGTTAAACTTAATATGAAACTTCTGGGTACATTTAGCCAAAATAATACATCATCAAACATGAAGGAAGATAAGCCCACTTATCGGGAACAGTTCGTGCCACCAGAAATGTCGATGCTGTCATATTTTCTTCTGAAACCTTCTAATAATGGTAAATATGTTAAAATAATCTTTTCCACAAACTATAACAAAATTTTACTCCAAATTTCGCTGAAAGGCAAATAAGAGATCTGTGGATACTTTTTAGTTGATAATTTCAAAAATTACAAATCTTGAATTGAGTCACTTTTGAAGAGCGTGAATGATATAGTCTTATGCTATTTCGGACGCCTGTTGTGGTAAAATTCGTCCTTTTATTCCTTTTTGTACAGAATGTATTGAAGATTTTTATAATGTTAGGAAATTTGGGAAACGGGAAAAAATTATTACTATACCCATTTTGTACTATGTATTCATAACCTACATACATACGTATGTGCAAAATATCGCTTTCATATGAGCTGTTATTTTTGAATGACTTATAGTTGAGAAATTAAATATACTGATGCTTTGGCTTGATGCATTTATGAACACACCCATGAAAATCCTCGGCTATCACCTGTTAATCAACATGAAAGCTACTTTTCATATAAACAACAATATTCTATTAAGGTTTGACTATAAGCTAAGAATTAGACAAAATACAATTTGATACCCAGCTCACGACCAGTGTTGCCACTTGAGCTATATTTAGTTACCAAATTAGGTATCCTACCAAATCAGTTTCCAAACTACCATTTTTTTTTCATCATTAAGACGAGATTTTATTAAATTTATGAGTTTTTAAGCTGCACAAATTAAAATACCAAATAATATTAGGGGTCTTCATACCGAGCTTGATAATTTGTATGATAGTCGGTAAACTGATCAGCTGTTCGATGTTTATTAAATTTATAATCCATCGCTGCCGAAAGGCATAACACAAAATTAATTTAATTTTCTGTTACAATAATTTTTTTTTTTATAGGAAATAAGCTACGAACCAACTGCTGATAGACATAGTTTACCAGACTAACAAAAGTAAGCTTAAAGGACTTTCACAGTTGATAAAAGTAACGAGTACCAACTAACAGTTTACTAAAAATACCGAAATATTATTTACACTTCTGCGGTTTGCTAGCCATTCATATAAACCTTTAAGGATAATCAAAAAAAGCCTTTAATTAACGTCTTGCTACGATAATCCTTGAATACTTGAGGGATTTCCCTTCGGTTCTTATCGCTGCATTCTTAAATGAACGCTCAAGATTTCCAAATTGCAGTACAATTAACATTGTTGTACAACAAACACTTCGCAATACTCGCTAATGCAATAACAACATTTTACAATACTCGTTAAAGAAATTACAACGCTTTACAAAAACTTGCTAACACAATTGATCTCTGTTTCACACTGAACTTGTAGCTTGCCGATTTGCAACTAAACTTATTGTGCGCTGTAGCCACACATTTATATACTCGCACTGCTTCGCATTCATGGCTCGCTGTTCGCACTATTCTCCCACTTGCCGTTTCTTGCTCTCAGATATTCTACCATTTTCTTGTTCGCTTCGCGTTGCCGCAGTATTCGCCACACTGCCCTCCATCTAAGTCTGATCGTCCCTATCAGACACACTAGCTGTTCCAAACGCCGCAAACCTTTCCAAGTTTACCACTCTAATGTCGCTAGTACGTGGGGCGTAGCACCCACAAAGTTCTAAAAAGATTTAGCTCACCCACGTACCAGCAATGCCCCGCTGGATGAACAAAAGAACTGGAACTCTGCTTGCGCCTGGGCTTCGGGCACACTCACACACTGCGTCTGCTGGATGCTGTTAATTTATTTACACGGCCGCGCTAATAAAATAATTGCAAAGTTTAATAACACACACGTACACTACCTTTAAATAGATTTACTTTTTATTTAATTTAATTTGAGTTTATAATTTTTCGGCGAACCGGTAAATTTAAAATTCGAGTAGCGAATGACATGCTTTCTTGAAGCCAGCCTACGATACACCTTCTAGAAACGAATGTGGATCGTAAGCTCGCCAGTGTTGACAACACACGCGATGTAATTTTATTATTTTGGGCAACATAAGTGTTGCCATATAAGATGTTACCACATCGCGTGTGGTGCCATTACACCAACCGCCTATGGGAAAAGAAGCTTTACAAGGTGATCAGACTTGTAAAATCGTCTTTCCAAATAGTATGTCAAATTGCTTTGGAGGAACGAAAATGTTATATTAATTTTCTTTCCCCCCTTTTATTCGTTCGTCCATAGCAATTTGGAAATGCATACTCCATGACATACTAACTAAATATACATTATATAAAATTACTTAATCGTAATTAGTATTAGGCCAAACTAATTTGAAGTTGAAAAAAAAAAATTAAATTAGTCTTATATTGAATAAATTTTTTTTTGTTTTCAGAAATATTTAACTATACATTTTAATGCTTGATTTGAAAGTATTTTATAGTACAATATTTGTTCATNATTAGTATTAGGCCAAACTAATTTGAAGTTGAAAAAAAAAAAAATTAAATTAGTCTTATATTGAATAAATTTTTTTTTTGTTTTCAGAAATATTTAACTATACATTTTAATGCTTGATTTGAAAGTATTTTATAGTACAATATTTGTTCATAAAAAATTTTGTAGTCTTAAGTAACATTTTCTTTTGTAGTTTAAAGTATTGTAATTTAGTTATTACAATTTTGTTTCTTATAAATAAACGTAAGTACATTTAAAGCATTTTTCTCTAATATTTATAATATTGCGTTTAAATAAATTAAAGAATTGTGTGCATCTGGCGAACAATTTCTATTTAGTGAATATTTCATTTTACACATTTTTTTTGTTTGTTTGCTTGACTTGAAAAATTCATATACATGTTTTTGTTATATGTTGAAATAATAGTTGGTTGAGATGAAAGTTTCAAATAACTTTTTGAACTCTATTTTTGTGGATTGTTTTTACTTTATCTTTTTCTTTATCGAAAATAGTAATATTTATACCATCTACTTTAGTTACAACGAGAGGATCCTGATATATATTTTCATGTTTAATTCTGGGTTCTTTTTGTACTAGAACGAGATCGTTTTCTTTAATATGTACTGGACGAGAGTGTCTATCATATAAATCCTTGTTGCGGATTTTATGTTTGTTAATTAATTCTTTGGCTATTGCATGTGATTTTTGCATCCGGTACTTAACCTCTTTTGCATAATTCTCAACATTATAAATGGGATACATTTTTTCCTTTTTCAATTCTTGCGGTAAAGTCGGTGAATTTGGAGTAGTGTTATGCAAAAAGGTGAAATACTTAAGATAAGTGTCCCAGTCTGAAATAGTCTCATTTAGCTATGCACGTAAGTATTCATTGCAAACGCGATGATTTCCCTCAATTGTGCCTACTGTTTTGTGATGGTGTGCTGTCGAAAAGTTATGATCAATCTTTAAGAGTTTTGTTAGTTCTGAAAATATTTCATTTTTATATTCAGTTCCTAAATCTGATCTGATTGAATTCATTATGCCGTATACTAGTATGTGACTTTCAAAAATAGCAGAGGCGATCATTTCGGCGCTTTTATCTGGAACAGCAACGGTTACCAGATACTTTGTCAGATCACAAATCATAGTAACAGCGAACTTGTTACCGCTTGTTGATTCAGGCAAAGGCCCTATTGTATCAATTATCACTATTTCAAAAGGTTTGTTAGGTGTTGGCGTTAAAACAAGGTTTTCTTTTGTCTTTGGTTTTGGCTCGTTTAGTAAGCATTTCTCGCAATTCTTGACAAATTTTGATATATCGCGGATCATGTTTTTCCAAAAATATTTTGTACGGATTTTTGCATATAAAATCTTTTGAGTCCACAATGTCCTCCACTTATTGGACCGTTATGGTATATTGTCATAAGTTGGTGTCTCGTTTCGTCGTCGGTCACAGTTTCGACTGAATCTGTCAATATAATTTGTAAATTCTTTAAAATTTTATTTGCGCGGTCTTTTAAGTTTGTAGTTGTAAAATATTTGAAAAATAAATAAAACTAAATCATAAATTAGGCCATTCTAATATTAATATTACGACTGTTGGCTTCGACTTCAAGTCGCGAAAGTAACTCGTCGAAATTCGTTTTTTCGTTAACAATCGTAAAATTAGGTAACTCGTGTTTTTTGTTTTTTAAATGTGCACAAACTTGAAAATTTGAAATTTCATTATTTTTATCATATATTATATTTGTTTTCACCCGGGGTATTTTATTTGAGAAATCATATGAAAATTTGTCCTAAACCTGTAATTTAATTTTGTCATTGCATTCACTATCGTACTTTAATTGTGTTTTATTCGTCATTGATCTTGTTTTTACCGCTAGTACTTGTTTAGTTGAGTCTTTTATTTCGTCCATTGTAATCCGTGACAATGCGTCCGCTCCTACATTCGATTTTCCTTTTATATATTCAATTGTAAAGTCGTATTCTGACAGTTCTAAGCGTATTCTAGCAAGCTTTGACGATGGGTCCTTCATGTTAAAGAGATAAACTAAGGGCCGATGGTCAGATTTCACCGTAAAGTGAGTGCCGTAAACATACGGTCGAAACTGCTTGATCGCAAAATATAAAGCTAAAAGTTCAAGTTCGATTATCGGTTTATTCTGTTCTGCTTTATTGAAAGATTTTGACGCGAAACATATCGGCAAATCATTTCCGCCATTGTTTTGGCTTAATATAGCACCGCACCCAACTTTCGAGGCATCGACAGTAATAATAATTTGTTTTGTGAAGTCTGGGTATTGTAGCAATTTTGGGGAAATTAACGCTGATTTTAACGATTCAAAAGCTTTATCGCATGCGCTGTCCCAAGTAAACTCAACTTTTTTCCTGCCTAATTTATTTAAAGGCGCTGCCAGAGATGCAAAATTTGGTATAAACCGCTTGTAATAATTAGCTAACGCGACGAAACGTCGAACCGCATCTTTATCAGTCGGCTTTGTATATTTTTTAACAGCGTTTATTTTGGTGTCGTCTGGCAACAGACCTTTGGCTGAACATTTATGGCCTAGGAATGTAACTTCCGGCCGAAGAAAATTGCATTTATTAGGGTTGAATTTTACGTTGAAGTTTCG